AAAGAGCATAATGGTGTATTCAAGATTCAGGTTCCCAAGATCCCTACAGCACAGGCTTTACCCAGTGTTGGCATGTGGTAAGGGGCCTGTTGTGCAGGTTGGCCACTGCTCAACTAAAAAAATATGGCAGCCCCCAGAGGTTGGCCTTGAACCAGGGAAGCTACCCAGTGCTTAGCCAGCACTCTGCACTCTGTTATGTTGCCAATATGGAATGAAAGTGTAGCCCAATGTGGACCCAGCCCTCGACCCTGAGAGCTCAGTGACACTGTCTGCCCAGTGCTCCTCCTGTCTGTCTCTTCTTGGCCTGGAGGACAGTGTGGCCACAGGTAGGTTCCAAAGCCCTTCCTTAGGGCCTTCTCCTGACCGATCCTGCTTCCCAGGCTCAGGGGGCATCTCCCGGGGTTCCAACCACACAACTGAAGATCCAGCAAGCCTCGTGGAAGGAGTTGTGTGTTGTCTTTCCTGCGTCCCTTTCTTCTCTCCATCATCCCTCTGCCCCTCCCTGTGCCTCTGAGAGCTCCAGAGTCACCTTCCTCCATCACAGAGCAGTTGAGCTCCAGGCCAACAACCCTAAGACAGACAAACCCACCCCGTCTTTGGCTCAGCCAAATCCTGCAGCTGCCAGCTACTCACCCACTCCCAAACATGCATACGCCTTCACCCCACATGTGAGCTGTGCCATACTCCTAGGGGTGTCCAAACTCCTGCCCCTGAGCAACTCTGTGCAGAGAGGCCAGCTTCCATCCATGGGACTAAAGTGGATGAATCCTTATGCTTTAGAGGCACAGATCAACCAGGAGAGGCACAGCTGGGAGCAGAGTAAAGGGTCCTCTGATGCTCTGGCTTTTCTGAGTCAAGAGCCTGGAGCTCCAGCTGACACTGACATGGGATTACATAGACTTTTGGAGGAATGAGGGGCCAATCCAAACTCCTCTCCTGAGCAAGGGGGAACAGGGCTCAGGAGGAAGATGCTGAGCGTCTGTCCAGGTCCCTCATCCAGGCCTGAGTCACTGCTTTCTCTCCGGAGACAAGTGAGCTATGGAAACACCCAAACACACCAGAGGTGTGAGGGCGCTGGGATCTGGCAGTGGCTGTTCCTCAGGTCACACCCTTTCTGGGTCCCAGGGTGACATCTTCCTGGGGAAGAGGGGAAATGGACTCTATGGGTAATATAGAGCCAGTCACCACTCCCTGGCCACCATAGCCTGGCCGTCTGGAGGGCCGTTTGAAGAAGAATCCCGATGTGGCCTTGGTTCAGTAGGAACAATTGCAGCATGACGGACACAGAGGTGGTCAGATGTGGCTGAGGATTTGTCAGACCAGCCTAGATGCCTCTGACATCCCGGCCTGGCATATGTTCACTGCTTCTCTGATCAGGCAGAAAGTGCCACGAATGCAGCCACACACCATCCGAGGCTACTCCAGAGACCGGACCAGGCTCTGGTGGCTCCAGGCGTCTGCTCTTGAGACTTTTTTCCCATGCACACCATTCCCTAGAGGAGCAGCTGCAGCCCAGGGGAAGGGGTGACGCTCCCTCAGGGAACCACGCCATGACTCTAGGCAGTCAGTACTGGCAGCTGTCAAAGCTGTCATTCCCTGAGTGTACCTCTTAATGAAGGCCCATTAAGCCCCCTCTTATGACTGCATAATTATTGCCATAAGGAGGCTTTGTTCTCTTTGTTTTGGAAATAAAACAGTTTTAAATCCCTAAAGCAAGAGAGGTGCACAGCAGCTGTGGGCTGGCACTGGAGAGCACAGAACCGCAGGGCAGGGGCTCCACAGGGTTGGGGCTCTGGTGTCTGCAGCTCCTGCAGACGCAGCCCAGAGCCTAGGTAGCAGCCGCTGGTGTTTCTGCAGCAGGGCAGAGCGGCCAGGTCAGCTCCAGCACTCATGTGAGCTGCGGGGAGTTGCCACGGGGCCCACCGGCCCTCCTCGCTTCTCCTGTAGCTCCCAGCAACTGTCATCATGAACCACCTGTGCCCCTCACTACGCCTTAGGGGCTGGGCAGTGCTTGGGCCCTTATTCCCTTGACCATGAGAAAGCAGAGGCGGCTCGGTGGGCTGGCCAGTGTCCCTCGGGTGTAAGAGGAGGATTCACAGGAAGAAGAGGCTGAGCATGTCCTATGTCCCAGGCACGTCTGCTCTAAGTCTTCACATACACAACCTCACCTGTTCACTACCACAGGCTGCAGAGGAGGAGCTGGGCTCCTGTGTTAAGGTGAGGCTTGGACGCATTAGGTGAAGTGCCCAGTTCACCAGCTCCTATGTGACCAGCTGGGCTTTCAGCCCAGATATTTCCACCTCTCCAGCTTCCCATCCTCAAGAACATGACTGGGCCAGACCCAGACTCTGAGGGCATTCACGGACACTGTGCCACGCCAGCCCTCTGAAGTTCTCAGAACGTGTGTTCTGACCCCACTGCGTGCCAGGTCCATGCATTAGGAAGTGGGTGGACAGGAGACACGAGACACGCTCCTTCCCCCCGAGGAGTCTGCTGGCAGCAAGGGAAACTGAAGTAAACTGGAAACAGCATCCACCACGGGCAGCAGGAGCTGTGTGCTGACTTGGGGGGCTGCTTTGCTGGGAGTGTGCTCAGCAGAGAAGAAGAGAAGGGTATCCAGGCAGAGGGGACGCCTGGGCAAAGGCTTCGAGGTGCAGAGGTGGGAGGCATTTGGGAGCTGGTGATGGCATTGGGGGTGGCTTCCCCTGGGGAAGAATGAGAGGAAAGGGCCCCTCTGGCAGGCGCCCCGTATTGCCCCCGGGGACTTGAATGTGGCTGGCTCTGCACCCCCACTCCTGCCCAGGGAGGGCTCCACTGTGCTGGGCTGACCAGAGAAGCAGCTGGTTCTGTCAGGAAGGGAAGGCTCCTTTAGCCCCGCCATGAGGCAGCCTGGGGGAGGGGGAGGAAGGCAGCGTCATCCCACACAGTGGCCCTGGGCCACTGACCCGACCAGTCTGCCCCATTCCCTCCCCTGCGACACGGAGACCCACACACCCAAGCCTCTAATCTGCTTCTAAGAACATCGTGAGAGACACTGATCATCAGGGGACTGCTTATTGTAAAGCAAAAGCTCCAGAAGGCTGTAAGTGAACAGGGCCGGGACACCAGAGCTTAAGGGCCCCGGACTATCTGAGTGTCCAGCCTTCATTTAACAGCAGAAGAAACAGACCCCAGGAGGTCAGAGAATGTGTCCAAGATGATCCGGTGAGCTTGGCCAAAGACGGAGCCCTGCCTTCTCTCCCGCATCATGCCACCTCCAAACTAACAACGCTTTTCTCACCTCTGCCTGCTCCATCCCAAAACATTTCTCCTCAGCCTTTGTGCTGAATGGGGTCACACCATTAGAATGGTTTCTTGGAGGTGGTTACTATGCATGCCCTTCTTGGGAAGACTTTAACTGTGCATCCGTCACTCACATTTTAGTATAAATTAGTTTTATCAGCAGTTATTTAGCATTGGTGGCATGAGGATTTTAAAGAAAAGAGAAGACTGGAATACCTGTGGACCTAGAAAGGACAAGCTTGAATGGGCCCAGGACAGCTGCTATAGTATAAAGAGGAGACCTGGTTTCTGATCCCGTTTCTAGAATGTATTCACTCTGAACTCCAGAGCCCTTCTCTATAAAATGGCAGCCATCAAGTGACTAAATCAGAAGCCCCTTCCAGGCTGACATTATGGTTTTCTCCACCAGAGGAGAGGGTCCCCAAAAGCGAGACCAGGTTCAGGACAAGAAGGCCAGGCCTCTGGGCTCTTCACCTCATGGGCCAAGTCCTGTTGCAATCTCCACAAAGCCAAGGCTCCAGCAGGAGTCGGTCACAGAGGAAAGTGCTGCCTCCTCAGCAGCGCAGGAGGTGGGCTGAGTCCCAGCCAACCCCATCTTCAGCTCCCAGCAGCCTCTGCCAAGGAGGAGGCCCTGTCTCTCCCCTGACAAACATAAATATCTGCTCCATCCGTGAGTCTGCCTTGGCTGCAGAGCTCTGTCAGGCCCATTCTCTCTCTTTGATAGCGGTACTTTACTAAAGCGCAGGATATTTAACATGTAGTGAAGTACACAAACCCTAAGCCACGGCTTGGTACATTTCCCCAAATCATACACCATAACCATCACTCGCATCCAGATAATAAAAGGAGCTTGCAAGGGTGTAACTGTATTGATCCCTCTCTGCCTCTTGTGCTAGTGTTATTATACATTTTACTTCTACATGCCTCTATTTTAGCTTTAAATGGCCAAAAGTGTTTTTTAAAGTAAAAAACAAAAGATATTCTCTTATATTTTCTGTGTAATTCCTGGTCCTTTCTATTTCTTTTGAGTAGTCTGGGCTTCCATCTTAGATTCTCTCCCTTTGGCCTTGGAAATTCCTTTAGTACTATTTATAGTGTAGCAATGAATCCCTTAATTTTGTCTCCTTTCATTTGTTTAAAAATGTCTTAATTTAGCCTTTATTTTTGAATGACATTTTTATTGGAAATAGACTTCTAAGCTCACAGAATTTTTTCCTTGATACCCATTAAAGCGGTCCTTTAGTTGTATTTTTGCTGACTTTGTTTCTAGTGAAAAGCCAGCTGCAAATCTTATTGTGTTTCCCCTCAATGTAATCTAATTCTATTTTCTTAATAATTTTAAGATCTTCTCCTTACCTTTGTTTTCTAGCTTGATGATGACATCTCTAGGTATAGTCTTTCTTGTATTTATACTCCTTAAGGTTATTTTTATTCCTAAATCTGTGTATTGACGTCTTTCATGAGTTTTGTGAAGACATGTTCAGTCACTATCTCTTCAAATATTTATTGAAGCCCCATTCTCATTTCCCTCTCCTCCTGGGACTCCAGTTATACATATAACATCCCATTTAATATATTGTTTCATAGATGTTGATGCTCTATTACAAGGGTTTGACAAACTTTTCTCTAAAGGGCAAGACTTAATATTTTAGGCTTTGTATGCCATATCATCTCTGTCACAACTACTTGGCTATTCTGTAAACAATGTCTGGTATGTCTGGGTTCCCATAAAACTTTGTTTACAATAACAGGCAGCAGGTTATATTTGGTCCATGGGCCCACAGTTTGCTGACCCTTCCTCCAGTCTGTCATTGTTTGTTTCTTTCTGTGCTTCAACTTGGAGAACTTACTTTGACCTGCCTTTGAGTTTCCGACCCTTTCTTGTGGTTGTGTCCAATCTGTTGTCAAGCCTATTAAGTGAAGACTTCATTTTAGATTATATTTTTCAGATCTAGATCTTACATTTGTTTATTTTCATAGATGTTATTCATTTTCTAGTTTATTTCTTTATTAATAGATTTTTTTAGAGCCATTTTAGGTTCACAGCAAAACTGAGCAGAAAGTGCAGAGAGCTCCCCTACACCTCCTGTCCCACACATACACAACCTCCCCTACTACCAACATCGCCCACCAGAGTGGCACTTTTCTTACAACTAAGTCATGTTCATATCATTATCAACCAAAGTCAATATTTAACATTAAGGTTCACTCTTGGTGGTGTGAGAGAAGTATAATGACATGTAGCCACCATTACAGTGTCACACAGAGTAGTTTCACTGCCCTAAAAATTCCTCTGTTTATTTCTCCCTCCCTCCTAACCTCTGTCAGCCCCTGAACTGTTTACTATCTCTACAGTTTTGTCTTTTCCAGAAGATTGTACAGCTGTAATCATAGAGTATGTAGCCTTTTCAGATTGGCTTCTTTCGTTGAATAATAGGCATTTAAGGTTCCTTCTTGTCTTTTCATGGCTTAAAAGCTCATGTGCTTTCTTTTTAGTGCTAAAGAGACTTTAACACTAAAGTCATTTAGTGCTGAATTCTTTTCTTTTTAGTGTTAAATAATATTCTTTGGTGGGGGTCACACCTGTAATACAGCACTTTAGGATGTTGAAGCTGGTGGATTGCTTAAGGCCAGGAGTTAGAGAGTGTGGTGGGGCACATCTGTAATCCCAGCTGCTCGGGAGGCTGAGACATGAGAATCACTCGAACCTGGGAGGTGGAGGTGCAGTGGGCAGACAGTGCATTACTGTACTCCAGCCTGGGCAACAGAGGAAGTCTCTGTCTCAAAAGAGAGAGAGAGAGAGAGAGAAGCAAAGAAGGAAGAAAGGAGGGATAAAGAGAGAAAGAAAGAAGGAAAGAAGGAAGGAAGGAAGGAAGGAAGGAAGGAAGGAAGGAAGGAAGGAAGGAAGGAAGGAAGGAAGGAAGCTAGGTTTGCCCAGACTAATGTCCTGGAGATTTTCCCCGGTGATTTCTTGTAGTAGTTTCATAGTTTGAGGTTTTAGATTTAAGTCTTTAATCACTTTTGATTTGATTTTATATATGGCAAGAGATAGAGGTCTAGAAACTGGTTTCACTCTTCTCCATATGAATATCTGTTTTTCTCAACCATATATTGAAGATACTGTCTTTTCCCCAGTGTATGTTCTTGGCACCTTTGTTAAAAATGAGCTCCTGTGGATTTGTTTCCAGGTTCTCTATTCTGTTCCACTGGTCTATGTGTCTGTTATTATGCCAGTACCATGCTGTTTTGGTTACTATGGCTCTGTAGTATAATTTGAAGTTAAGAAATGTGATTCCTCCAGTTCTGTTCTTTTTGCTTAGGATAGCTTTGAATATACTGGGTTTTTTGGGGTTCCATATAAATTTTAGGATTGTTTTTTCTATAAATGTGAAGAACATCACTGGTATTTTGATGGGGATTGCATTAAATTTGTAGATTGCTTTCAGTATTGTAAACATTTTAACAATATTGATTCTTATAACCCATGAACCTGAAATATCATTCCATTTTTTCGATATCTTCTTCAATTTCTTTTATCAGTGTTTTCTGATTTTCATTACAGTGATCTTTCACTTCTTTGGTTAAGTTAATTCTTAGGTATTTGATTTTATTTGTGACTATTGTAAATGGGATAACTCTTTTACTTTCTTTTTCATATTGTTTACTGTTGGGATATAGAAATACTACTGATTTTTCTATGTTGATTTTGTATCCTGAAACTTTACTGAATTTGCTTATCAGTTCTAATCGATTTTTGTGAAATCTTTAGGTTTTTCCAAATAAAAGATCGTATCTCTGCAGGAATTGGATATGGGGGAAAAAAAGATCATATCATCTGTGGACAAGGATAATTTGACTTTTTCCTTTCCAATTTGGGTGCCCTTTATTTCTTTCTCTTGTCTGATTACTCTAGCTAGGACTTCCAGTACTATGTTGAGTAACAATGGTGAAGTGGGCATTCTTGTTGTGTTCTGGTTTTTAGAAGGAAGGCTTTAAGTTGTTCCCCATTCAGTATGATACCAGCTGAATGGTATTGTGGGTTTTTCTGTTTTGGGTATTTGTTTTTGTTTTTGTTTGTTTGTTTTTTTGAGTCAGAGGTCCGCTCTTATTGCCCAGGCTGGAGTGCAATGGTGCAGTCTCAGCTCACTATAACCTCCACCTCCCTGGTTCAAGTGATTCTCCTCCCTCAGCCTCCCAAGTAGCTGGGATTACAGGCGCCTGGCCCCACACCTGGCTAATATTTGTATTTTTCGTAGAGACAGGGTTTCATCGTGTTGGTCAGGCTGGTCTCGAACTCCTGACCTCAGGTGATCCACCCACCTTGGCCTCCCAAAGTGTTGGGATTACATGGGTGAGCCACCAAGCCCAGCCTGGTATTGTGTTTTAATTTCAAGCTCCACTTGTTTATTGTAGATATTTAAGAAAGTGATTGACTTTTGTATATTAACCTTGTATCCTGAAACCTTGGTATAATTACTTATTAATTTTTGAGTTATTTATTTATTCATTTTGAGACAGAGCCTTGCTCTGCAACCTAGGCCACAGTGCAGTGGTGTGAGCTAGGCTCACTGCAACCTCCACCTCCCAGGCTCAAGTGCATCACAATTTCCAGCTAATTTTTGTATTTTTAGTAGATACAAGGTTTTGTCATGTTGCCCAGGCTGGTCTCCGAATTCCTGGGCTCAAGTGATCCACCCACCTTGGCATCCCAAAGTGCTAGGATTACAGGAATGAGCCACCACACCTAGCCTAGAATTTTTTTTGTTTATTCTTTTCAAATTTTCTACATAAACATGACACCTGCAAACAGAGAGTATATTTTTTCTTCCTTTCCAATTAGCATACCTTTTATTTCTCTTTCTTGTGTTATCACATTAGCTAAGACTCTGGCACAATGTTGAAAAAGAGTGGTGAGAGGAGATATTCTTGCATCACTCCTGATCTTAGCAAGAAAGCTGTTTCTCACCATTAAGTATAATGTTAGCTGTAGGTTTTTTGCAGATATTCTTTATTCAGCTGAGGAAGTTCCCCTCTA